TTTTAATTTAATAATTAATTTTTTAAAATATTAATTAAAGTATAAATTTTTAGATAAATTCTTCAAAATTTTTCGAGAAGAAAACTTGTCTTAGATTATCATTTACCAAAACGTGCATGTAGACTAAGCCATAAATGTAAATCAATTTAAAATTTTTAAAAAATATATATTAAAAAGTTTAAAATTTATAACTTATATCATTAAATAAAGACAAAATTTCTTAAAATGTATATTTATTATTTAACTATTCTCATCAACGACCTAAATAACTAAATAGTTATTTCTTTCTGTTGAAAGTAGAAGATTTTGAATTCGAATCATATAATATAGAAAGCAATCATCTCTCACTTCTTATCCCATTTCAGTCGCATGGCATACGACTGAAAATGGGATAAAAGCTGAAAGATGATTATTTCCATGCAATCAAGATAAGAAAAGAAAATATATCATTTAACTATTCTTATCTATAATTCGATACCGAAACTATTGAAATAACTTTTGCTTCTCAATTTCCTTCCCCTTATCTTATGAATATGACCTGAAAAAAAGGATCCACCAGAAGGCCACAAGTCCAACGGTCCCAATTACAATGCAAGCCAAGTCCAAAGCCCGTTCCTCCTTTTCTTTCCTTTCCTTTCTTTCCCTCTTCCTCTCTACAAAATCCTCATATTTCTCTTTCCCTTTGTTCCCCTTCATTTCCCTTCTCCTCCCTCCATTGCACCTTGTAAAATTTCCAAACCCTCCGCCCCACTCAGCCCTTTCCCCTCCATATTCACCATCTGCATGCTCACCTCCCTCACATGCATCCCACCTCCTTCCTATTGGAAATAGGCCCAACATTCAATCTAGACCATGTACAATAGGCCCAGTCGTACATCTATAACCTCAAAATGAAGAGACATCCATACACTAGTACGGACATACCCACGTGGATAGTAACACGTGGACCAATCGGATGCTTACACATATGGACTCATGTTAACACATATGGACTCATATTAGCATATGGGGCTATAAATACCCCCAATTACCTCTACTCAAGGTATTAACTCTCCTACGTTTCTCTCTCTGCAATTACCTCTTGAGAGCTTCTTTCTCTAGAATATTGAGTATTGCTAACTTGAGCGTCGAAATGTTTTTCCTGAAGAAACATTCTCGGGATTTTTAAGTGTTAAAGCAGTTGAAGATATCTACAGTGTAGGATCATGAAGTTGCCCAAACATTTGGCACCATTTGTGCGAAGTCAACAAAATGTGTTGTGGTTTAGTTAGCTTGAGCTAAAAATGGTACATACCTTTACAAGGAACCGCCCCCCAAGAGGCAACATGGACGATCAAGATAATACCCAGCCTTTGGAAAGCGACCTAAACGACTTCCGACCAACGTCGAGAAACCTTTTTGTGGGAGGAGTAGAACAAGAACAATCAAATAGCTCAAATGATGAATGAACACCTACTGGGTATGCAACCCAACCCGAAGAACAATTTCACATCCCAGTGGAAACTAGGCGAAGGCATTCCAAGCAAAATACTTCACGACCTGAGAGACCCATGGAATCTGCTCGGACGACCGAGCTGGAAGAAAGAACCAGAGTTCTAGAAATAAGAACTAGAGTTCTAGAAATGGTCATGGGAAGAATCCTCTCTCGTCTGATCCCTGATGACCCCCTAATTCCTCTGCTGAATAGGGGTGAGCAGTCGACAGCAGTAATTGCAACCCACAACTCCCCGGCCTTGAGTAATGTGGTGGTTCCAACCAAGTCAAGGGGAAGTGGAAGGTTAAATCCAAAACCCAGCTCGTCCAAACACAATGATGAATTAATGAAGAAAAATGCAGAACTCGAGAAGCAGCTAAAAGATATACAAAGGTCTGTTGACGAGCTAAAAAGTCTGAGTTCGTGTCAGCAAACCTTGGATTTAGACAGTGCCCCTCTCAACCTGTCCATTACAGCAGAACCATATCAGGAAGGATTCAAAATTCCCCATTTAGAAACATATGATGGTTTCAGCAACCCAGACAAACACTTACACACCTATCAAGCCATCATAAAAATTCAGAACGCTACTGATGCAATGATATGCAAGGTGTTCCCTACAACATTGAAATCTACTGCTAGAAGATGGTACCACAAGCTCCCTAGACACTCTATAGTTTTGTACTCCCAGCTCGCCACTTTGTTCTCTAACAAATTTGCGAGCCAGAGGGAGATAAAACATACTGCTACTAAGTTGATGCAAGTTCACCAGAGGGAGGGAGAATCTTTGAGAGACTATATGCAACAGTTCAACAAGACCACCCTAGACATTGATAATGTTCTTGATACCCTTTGTTTGTCTGCCCTACTGCACGGTCTCAAACCTGGTCGGTTCTTAGACGACCTCTTAGAAAATCCCCCGAAGTCATGGAACGAAGTAAATGACAAATCAGCGAGCTTCATATTATCAGAAAACTTTCAGTCGTCTAAGCGACAAGTTGACGATAAACAAGGTAAAGAGTACAAACAACCAAAAGAGAGGGAAGAAAAGAAAAAACAGAAAGTCGACGAGCAGAGTGGAAAGCCAAATAAAGACTAGGCTTCAATTCAGGTGAATGTATGGGTTTTATTGTATTTCATTAAGTGCTAAAATAGAAATTATATGTATATTTATACTCTCTATATATAAGTGATAAGAAATCTCAAATTAATTGTTTAAAGATTTATTAATGAATTTAAATAAATTAGTGGTAATCTTTTTTTTTTTAATAAAAATAAAAAAATCCTAAGTTCAAATAATATAACATATAATCGTGATGATTTAAAAAATTAAAAAAGATTATTTTTCATTGTGTAATATAATATATATATATGATTAAAGACTTAGAAATTTTGTTTTTTTTTCAAATTTTCTCAATGCATGTAGTGTATGTAGCCTTTGTACTCTACATGAAAAAAAAAAAAAATATATATATATATATATATATTTCAAGTTAGCTAAGTCTTTCATACTAATATTGATGTGTAGAATTGTCAATTGACATGTTACATTGTTTAATTGACGAAGGTTTTTCGAAGATTGTTTAGAACTTCTGACATTTCCACATGCAACAAACTCAGGTGTTTGTTCGTGTTTGGAAATTACCTTAAATGCATATATGTATAAAATCCATGTACAGAATCTCCATGGTGGAACGGAAGTGGGATGCCAAAAAGATTTTATAATTTGCTCATTAACTCAATAAAATCCTAATCTTTTAATTAGCGTGTAATGTGAAAGAAATCTGGATACATTATTTTTTTCCTTGATCCATACATATATTCGGAAAGAGATAATGGACATGTGCACCTACCCAATATTAATATGTATAATAATATGCTTTTCAAGAAATAACAACGTGGAAGTAGTCTTAACTTAACAACCTTTAATGTTCTTGGAACTGATGAATCTCTTCCACTTCTATAGTATGTTTTTGGTTTGAAAAAAATGGAAACGATGAGAGCAGAAAATATTTCATTAAATCAAATTAGGCATTAAACATTGTCTTAATCATGTAGTACTGATTAGTAATACAATATTACACTTGCCAACCCCTAGTTGGGGCAATCGGGTTTACCACTGGCTCCCAAAGGTACCTTTCACTTGCCACTTTATCCACTTGCTCCTAGAGGAGCACGTTCACTTGGAATTGTTTGATATAATAAATTAAGGGTAACCGCTAATGGTTTCGTCTATATTGTTACAAAAAAATATTTGAAAATTTTTCTCTCCACAAATTGCTATATATTTGGTGTTTGGTAAAAGTTTAGATCTAGTAATTTGATGGTAATGACTAGCAATTAAAACCCAATTTGCTAGCTAGTAGATTAAAAAAGCTCCTGAAAATAGATTTTTTTACCTCAAATTGCTAAGTGCTAACAGATTGAAAATTTTAAATTATATTATGACAAATTTACTCATTTTATTATGAATAAAATATAAATCTAAGCACATAATCTTCTTAATTTACTTCTTTTCATCTTCGAGAAAACCTAAGGCCATTGATACGGTATGTTTTCTTCTACACTTCCTATTATGATTCATTAAATTGATGGTAGTAGGCTATGCTTTTGCAAAATTTATTTTAATTGATCCATTGCAATTATAGTTGTGATGATGTTGAATATTAATATGTTGATCGTGGACTTGTATAGAATGTTTAATATGTCAATATATTTCTAAATTAACTTTTTGAATGTTTAATTTTAACATTAATTTGTTTTTCTTTCTAATTTTTTATTTAATTTGTAACTACTTTTTTCATTTAATAAAAATTTGTTAAGTCATTATAACAATTTAGTTTATAGGAAAGTTGAAGTTTTTGCCTTGTATTTAAAATTTTAAAATTAATTTTCAATTAAAATAACAAATAAATGTTTCATTTGCATAATAATAAAATAATAATAATAATAACGAAAATAAACAACAACATTAAAAATAATATAATTCTTTTACCATTAAAAACTTAAAAAAAGAAAATTAACTACTTTTTAAAATTATCACTATTTGTCGTTTGATATCAAACAGTAATTATTAATTATTATATAACTAAACAATTATCAAAAACAATATTTATTATCCACTATCACTATCTACTATCACTATCACTATTTGTTACTCACTACTCATCATCGTTAGTCTTAGAACCCAATTCCCTTTACCAACCATGTTTAAATAAATAAATAATAATAATTGCCTAATTTTAAAATAAATAATATGATTAAATGCTAATTTTGATTCCTTAACTTTAAAATTTTACACAATTTTCATCATCAATTTTTTTGTGCACTTTTTTAATCTTTTAATTATGAAGAATGCATCTTTTTAATCATTTTGTTCATTTTATCAATTAATCGTTAAGTCTATCTAAATTTACACATTTTTAGCCCCTCAATTTTATAGCATTTAACCAAAAAATATTACACATACACATTTGATAACCCCCTTAATGGATTATTGACCATTCATGTGCCAATTTTTGATTTGAGCGTATACTCATCCAACAGTTCAGAAGGCTCCACTCTCCAGAAGTAACAAGGACAACTCATCATACACCAAAATTAGAGTCATAGTCTCATAAAAAGGGAAGAAATAAAAAAAAATCAGAGTCATGTGTCATGATGAGATCCGGTGTTTTAGTTTTGAAATAATCACATCCAGAGACAAAATGATCCTAAAATTGGGGCGTATTCTGTGATGTGAGGAGACTGTCTATCAGATAGAATCATCATGAAATGTATTTTTCCTGCTGCTCTTGAAGAATCTTTGCTGAAGATTTGGCATCAATGTACAGCTTGCCTACTTCCTCAAGATCCGCCTATAAACCCAAGAACAAAATATAAGTTCCCTTGGAGTTGATACTAAGGAACATTTTTGACAAAACTACTCCCTAATGTTTAATACCTTGCAGATGTTGTCTCGGCCATTCATTTTTGCTACAATGCTGGCAGGCGATA